CCCCCCCCCCACCCTCCCCTTCCCCTAGCTTCTGGCTTTAGCCAATGCAGGCATGTGGCTGCATTTCTTGAATTAAAAGTGAATGCGTGTTCATTTGCCTTATTAGTTCAATGCGTGCAACTTAAACTAACCTGCAAAGACTGAATCTATTCAGCCTCGGGCTTTTTTGACTGTCTGTACTTAGCTTTAATGATTAGTTTGTTGACTAATACATAAATATGCATGTTGGCTCAAGAAAAAAACATTTTCACTGGATAATATTTATAGAGATGCTTATCCTGTAGGTCAATTTTTACTTGCTTTTGAATTAACTGGTGGGGAATTATTTGCAGAAATATTTTAAATGAGAGAATGAGTTTCTAAAATTTCCTTTGAAACTGTATCAAGGAGCTAACCAGTGGAACCCTGGTGTACAAACAAAGGAAGACATTGGCTTGAAGTTGTAAGAAACGGAAAACTATGCATGTCATCAGATAAATAATAGTTAACAAAGACACAGGATAATTCTTCTTACTACGTCAAACCAAATTCATAGTTTAATGGCTAACCAATTAACTGTGTTAGAATTAGTAGTTGCTGATACGTTAATCCTCAACAGTTTTGTGAGGTGACCTATATATGGCTTCAAATTCTATATAGCTTAATTATTTACGGTGCAAGTGAATATGTGGATATGAATATTGTAATCCTTAATATTGATTACATATATTAATACTATAATAAATGGATAGTTATTGTGTATTTGGTTTTAAAAAGGTGGTTCATTTGAAAATGGTAACTCCAAGAGGAGTAATAGAGAAAAGCTGTGAAGGACCTCGCATGTCAACAGGACCTGATGTACATCACTTCATTATGGGATCTGAAGGTATAAACAAAGCGTTATCTCATTAACTGCATCTTCATGTAGCTTCTTTAATAGTTTGAAATCTTTAGGAATTTATCTAATGAAGCTATTACAGTTTCCAGTCCCTTGGTAGCACTGTTTTGGCATGAATTTTTGTTTATGTATTGTGGTACTACTTTGCAGCCCTGCCTAACCAGAGATCAGGGCCATGTTGTTACGGCATTCTCCAGAGGCTCAAAAAGTAGAAGATGTTTCTTAAAAAATGCTCTTGGTGATTGTTTCCATATTTCTAACACCAAATTTTTATTCTTAATTTCTAGCTTTTAGGAAACTAATCGGTTTTCCAATCATCACCATGTAAACAATAGCCAATTACCCGTCAAGAATGACCCGGGGTGGGGGAAGGCGGGCAAACAGAGACGGAGCACTGCCATGCACTGCCCCACACTGCTGCCACTCTGCCACTAGGCCTGTGTTGCTGGCAGTGCACGTCTGGCCGTGCGCAACCCACTCCCCTCCCGGTTGTTTTTAGGGCCCAGTGGTGGAGGGGTGCTGCTGCTGTGTCCCCCCTCCCTCTTTTATAATATTAAAATTTTAGTTAATTACAGTACAGCTTTTATTTTTGGAGGTTTTTTGTTGTAATATAATTTCTTACAGAATGTTCATGTAGGAATAAAGTCTCTGCATCTCCAGAATCATGCTATGTGGGGGATAGTGTTAACTGAATATAGCTGACTTAATTCTTACGCATAATTACTTAGATAATCAGAATTCCACAGTCTAACTTTGGCATGTCTTAGGAGGCAAACACCGCACTAAATTTAATCAGTACATTTACAAAAGTGGTATTGAAAATGCCTACTCTGTTAATAAAGGAATATGACTACAAGAGGCTTTTGGTTTTGTACCTCCAATTTATAAACACTTACATTGTTCTAGTTGGTTTTGGTTAGGAGCATTATAGACTTATCTAGGTAGAGAAAATGCTTATGTATTCCTGTACATTGAGTGAAAAGGTGTATATTTAAAAACTGGAAGTTTCTGAATGGGCAGATCATGCTTTACTTGATCATTTTATTTTTCTTTTCTGTTCCAAATCTTTTGATATCCTACTTCTCAAAAACAACAAAAAAGTCTTTTAATACAGTGACTCCTTATCTTTTCTCTTTCTTCATGTTTAAATTCCCCCCTGGGAAGGAGTCTGTATTAGTCTAATCTGTAGCAAATCAGTAGTTTTGTATGTTGTTTTTTAAAAAATTTCTAGGCTTTTGGGGACATCTGTTGTAAATCCTGTGATATGTATGAAGAGAAGGAAAATACTGTAAAGGATTTGAATGCAAGAGCATCTTAATTCCCTACAAAGAAGTTTTTGTTGTTCAATACAGTGGTCTTTCAGTGTTCTTTTTGACAGCTCAGATTACTGTAGCTTGGTGTCTCCAGAAGTGTAAACCTGCAAAACTGTTTGTCTTTAAATTCTGTGCATGAATGAGAAGTTTTGTAAGTGCAGGACTCTTACATGTGTGTTTTGCAGACTGGTTGTTTGTTTGTTTTTTTTAAGGAAGTTGACAGTTCATCTATAACTCCTCATCAGTATTAATGCATCTTCTCATGTTCGTAAAGTAGATAAGTTCTCTGAACAGTTCAGTTTAATCTGTTAGCCTTCTTGTAGGATTCGGCTGAAAAAGCTATCTTAAATTTTTCATTTTTTGCCATTATAGATTTTCCTCTCTGCAGTGATTTATATAAATACTATCAATTTCTTTAAGTCATCATGGAATAGAGTAGTGTATAAAGACACCCACCAATTGTAGTCTGGTTTTGGTAGGTGCTGGGCAAATAAACGGATATATTTGGTGTTGAAAAGTTTTTAACAAACTAGTTGGTTACCAAACATTTTGCATTTTAATGTATATTTGTTTAAAATTCTTCCTAGTCCAATTTGAAATAAGATCAAAGTGAGAGAGACAGAAAGGAAGTGGAAAATTAGGATAAGGTTGGAAAATGGAATCTTACTTGTATCACTGAGGGGCACGCATTGTTTTAAAGTTCAGCACCTTGAACATCTGGGTACTGTTTTCCATTCTGAACAGATCTAGTTACACTACTCTGTGTCACAGTGTGTTTTTACTAGAGTAACTTCAGTAAACTTGGGTTATACCTTTGCATAGTATTGCCTTTAATTTTAAAACTTAAAATTTTAGAAATGATTCTGAATTCACTTGCCATTCTTTGAAATAAATCTGAGCCATGCAGTTTCAGAAACATCAAACATCAGTTTAATGAATCTAACAAGTGAGAATCTTTAGGGAAAAATGAAATATGTGAAACTCTAATCTATTAACAAGCCAGAAGACAGGAGAAAGTTTGTAACAAATGAATTGATGTACACCTTTTTCTTTTCAAAGGAATCTTTGGAGTAGTTACAGAAGTTACAGTAAAAATTCGACCTGTCCCAGAGTACCAAAAATATGGCTCTGTGGTATTTCCGAACTTTGAACGAGGGGTGGCGTGTCTAAGAGAAGTAGCAAAGCAAGTAAGGAGAAGCTTTTTCAAATCATATTATGTTACTCTCTTTCTTGAAACTAATATGCATTTTCCTCGTTGTAACACAAGGTGGCACACTAATGCTCTCATCTGCTTTTTTGGTTGATAAGTTAAGAACAGGATGTTATACTTGAGAAAAGGTCAGGGTTCCATTTCATTTTAATGAGTTACATGTGCATGCACAAGGATGGAATGCTAATGGAGGTGGAATTTGTTTTTTGGGTAGTCTTATCTAGAATAAAGTAATTTGGAAAACTAGGAAAACTAAATTCTGAAACAAGACAGTTGGATTTATAAACCCCAATATAACACGCAAGAAAAAGTATATAAGGGAAAACATGGCCTCTGCTTGTGTCTACAAAGGATGTGCAATATCCCTTGAAACAATGGCCTTTTATGGTGAGTTGGGCCCTTCTAGAGCTTGCATTTTAGTCTTTGGGCATGAACTTTTGAATGAAGAAGACAAAATGCAAAAAAAAAAGCTTAATGTCGCACTGTTTTTCCCAAGTACCCAGATTATGCCAATGCTTAATTTTCCTAGCAGTTGTTCTCTCAGGTCAGTTCTTTTACATATCCTCATTCTTCTTGCTCTTAATATAGTTGGTGGGGGGGAGGAAAGGAACTAAAGAAATGGAGAATAACTTCTGTGCATGGTAAAAAAAAAAAAAAAAAAAAAATTATTTTTGCTATCTACATGACAAAATATTTTTTTAAAGAAACAATTGGAACTTAACTTTTAAAGACTATTCTTGGTGCACTCCAGGAAAAAAAAATACTTAGTCTAATGATGTAAACTGTTTTCAATGATTCTAGTTCCAATCCATAAAAGTGATCTTTTTGTTTGTGTGTTTTATATTTGAAATTGCTTTGCTGCTGCTGCTACTGGTATAAGACTAAAATCCACAAATTGCTTGCTTGCTTTTGCGTCTTCCCCTGTCTCAAATTCCTAGATTCTTTAGTAACAGGAAAACTTTGTGAAACAAAGACATTCCTATAGTTGGTCAATCCTTGTTTTCTTAGCCCTGTTTAGAACCGTTTAAAAGTCCAGGACAAACAGCCAGCTGCAGAGCTAAACTACATGGCAGATCAGGTTCACAAACCAAAATGGACAGGAAGTTTAAAACAAAAAAACAAACAGCAAAACCCCCCTTATTTTTTCTGGGAAGTACCAGCTCTGATAAGTGGGCATACTTTCTCTAGAACAGTGGTTCTCAACCTTTTTTTTGGTATGAGGACCCATTTGTAAACGTTGATGATCAGTCTCAACACAGTGCCTCTCACTCCTGACCCACTGCCCCTTGGCCTCAGGCCCCAGCCCCCCAGTATGTGAGGCAGATGGGGCATGGGGTCCCCAAGCATCCCTTTGCTGGAACTCTGCCAGCCTGCAAGGGAAAAGCCACAATTTTGCACATTTTTTCTCTTTTAAAGAAGAATCCATTTTTAAAGTTTGTTCATGACCCTTTCATATATTCTTGCAACCCACTTTTGGGTCGCAACCCATGGGTTGAGAAACACTATTCTACAACCTCTACCAGTTGGAGCACCTGGCTACATGTTCAGTTTAATAAGAACAAGCCACAAAGTTATTACACGTTTTTTGTGTAATGACTTTGACTTATTGCTTGTCTTATCATGCCACTAGTGGATTTAAATGTGTAGCTGGGTCATAACTAAGTTATGACCCAGTGACTAACTGGTTAAGCATGCCTTAAGTGTGAAGTATAGATGGGGCCTGAAAATCAAATTTATTTACACACATTACTTGGGTAACCAACCACTCATACCGGTATCCCCATGCCTTCCAAATTCTTAAACTGAATCTGGATTTTTGGTCATCATCTCCATCTGTTGGCAGACCATGCAAATTTAAATCAAACTTGGCAATAAAATAATAAAATATGCAGTTTTGAGTTACTGGGCAACACTCTTTTCTAGATCTCTGAATCAAAATTATGTCTCGGTTTGTTGGATCATTATATGCTGAACTATACTTTTGCAGCTGTAGTCACAACTGCCTCCAGCCCTTTCTAGGTTAGTCGAGGGCAGTTTATTCGCCAAGAGGTACAGCCTGGACCTGTTTCTAATAAATTCCTCAGAAGGTACTATAATCTTTGGCTGATCCTCTGAATATCTGACAGTTATGTTTCCTCTGTCATGATAACAGATTCATTAAAGGCAAGCTGCAGTGCTCATTTAGACTCTGGTTCAAGATTTCAAGTTGAATCATTTATGCAGGCGCACATAATGGAGTTCAGGGAGACTTGTTCAGCCTGCAAAGTATTCTTACACTTCAGGCAAGACACCACCACTCAAATTCTGGTGAACATTATGTAAATAGACAAAGGGAAATGAGGTCATTTCCATTATTCTAGGAAACCATATATTTGTGGGGATGGGGCATCTAACATTAGCTGAATTTGATAGTATTCCATATCCTGCTAAATTCCTAAAACAGTTGACAAATCACCTGAGAAGAAAGAGGTCCATTGTTCACAAGTGCGATTAGTCTCCTCCCTAGACAGTGTTGCTAAAATGGAGAGCTCTTTTGTTATGTATTCTTGCTACTTCGTGTTTCCAAAATGTCCAGAGGGAGAAATAAGTCCAGGAACTACAGCAGGTCTGTTCTCTTGTGTAAGTCTGGTGAGAAAGAAACAATCTATTACCATTCCACCAATATCCTGTGTGCTAAGCAGACTTCATCAAGAAAAAGCTCAGATGATAGCTGTAGCTTGGGTATACCCATTCTGGTATTCTAAACTAATACTTTCCACCTCCCTCTTCTAAGTCTACTTTATTGTTTTGTAGAGTCAAGGGCAGGTGTCACTTGGGTGCTTTGAATTATTCCTGTAAGGGTTTACCTGGATGCTATCACAGCATATGACCAGTCAGTTCATGTTATTTGAATGGCCTTTTGAGCAGGGTCTTTTCCCTGCCCAGCTCTGTGTGTGCAGCTGAGTGGGGAACAAGCTCCACAGCCTGTTCTCCCCCAGTTCTGTGCTCATGGAGCTGAGTGGCAAACAGGTTTCCTGCCACCACCAGCAGGGAGTTCCCAGCCTGAGCTTCAGGACTATGGGGCTGGTGCTGGTGCTTTTGTCTCCCAGCCTGAGCTATGTGACCCTGGGGCTTGGGCTGGGAGACCCTTATCTCCCAGCCTTCTGGTCCCTGATTGCGATTGCAAAGCCAGGGGCTTGGAGCTCCCTGCTGCTGGGGCAGGGGGATATAGTCCCCACCTAGTCTCCTGTGGTGGAGCCTACCCCAGCAGCAGGCAGCTCCCTGGGGCAAGGAGCAATCTCCCACCCCCTGGTGGATGGCTGACCAGGACCAGGTTTTGCTCCCAGGCAGGTGTCTACATGAGTGCTAAGGCACCATTATTAATCTCATATAAATTTGCTACTTTTATTTGCAGATAGCAAATTTACTTGGGATTAGGGAGATTTACTGTGAAGTAAGTACATGCACGTGTAGACACATATGCTTACATAGCAGTAAACTATGCTAATGTGAAGTTAAGCTCTCATGTAGACACAGCCAGTAACAGGCATTTAGACCTGGTTGTGCCTCAGGTGGGCACAGGGCTCAGGTACAGCTCCAGACCAAACATTTCTAGTTTAAGGATTCTGGGCTCGTACGCAAAGCTGTCTCGAGATCCGGTAACTGTACATAGCTTCTTTCTACCATATCGCGCTTGTGATAATCCAGAACATGATTCTGTATCTAATAAAGCCTTTTCCCATAAAACTGTGTTGATTGGCTTTAACTATTACCATCCAATACATTTTTACTGATATCTTTTGTCCTTTATGAACCTTTTCACAGTTTTCCTTGTGAATGTTAGGCTAACAGATTTTATAGCTTAGTTGTTTCATCTTGGTTGCCAGTATTTAGAAAGGGTACAACATAAGATGTTTCCCAGTGTTTTGGAATTTCTCCGGCAGTGGAAATCTTTTTTGTTTAAAGATCACCCTAATGGCTTCATCCTTTAGCCAGTCCTTCTAATAGTATTGGGTGTAAATTGTCCAGCTTTAGGTAGTTAGTAGTTAAATGTTAACAGTGGTTTTTAATAGTTTCTTAATAATAAAATAAGCATTTTAAAGATGGATACATATCTATTTGGAATGCAACAAAGATAAAATATTTATTAAATATGTCTGCTCTTCAGCATTATAGTGATTTTACCATCTGTCTTTTATTATGCTGTTTGTATGTGTATAAAAGCAGTATTTAGAGAATCCCTACTTAAATTTGCTGGTTAAAGTTTATCATTTCTAACTGATCTATATTTATTGCCATTAGCTTCTCAACTTCCCACACATTTTGTTTTTGGTTTTTATTGTTGCCTCCAGTGCCCCTCTTATTCAAGTTAATTTTAACAAAGATGCTATTATACTGTGTTTGCCTGGGGGAGGGGAGGAGAGGGGACACCTAAAATTCATTCCTAAACAAATCCTAACTTTCTCTCAGGCCTTTTTGTTTAAAAAGTTCTACTCATTCCATTTTTGCTCATGTTCAATTGTTACTATTTTAAAGCACCCAGCATCTATTTTTACCTTTTAGGACTATTTGTTTGCATATGCGTTTTGAATATTTGCATATAGAGCACCAATAATATAGTTTAGTTGACCAGTTATTTTTTCTCGTCAGGTGGGGGTTTAATATCTAAACCTAGTTAATATCAACTTATGCTAGTTTTCCTTGAAATTTCTCAAACTTATAGATATTTTGCTAGTAACATCTTGAAAAATCCCAACATGCCATTCTTTGTTCTCCAGTCTTCTTTCCTGTCCCCTTTCCCTCTACCTTCCCAGATATGAAGTCCCCCTGTTAAATGTAATGTGTAAAAAAAAACAAAACACACATTTGGATAAGGATTGAATTGTGCTCTTCCCTGCTCTTATATGATGGTTTGTAGCAGGTGTTTGCCGGTAGTTTGTCTTTTCTTTGTCAGTTGGTAGCTGGGCTATCAGCTTTGCATGAAATTGTCAGAAACTCTTAACACAAGTAGCTTTAACTCCATGGGCACATGCACAACATAAAGCCCAGTTGCTTGAGTCTCTTGGAGGACCCAGGAATATTGTGTTGCTGTCGATTTATTTTATTAATCTGCTGAGCGACATTCATGGTTAGCTTTTAAATTGCCAAAATTCTTGGGACTTGAACTTCAGCAGCTGGCTTGGAATGGATTGCTTGCTTAGTTGTTTCCATTAGTGCTCCAGATAAACTGTGATCAGTTGGTGTCTAAAACACTGATAGATAAAATGAATACCCAGTGTCTGTAATAATAACTACTGGGAAGGCTAGCTGCTTCATTTGCTCATTATATAGATTCATAATGCTGACCAGGAGAGGAATAAGGCATAAATTGTTCAATATGATTCTTTGTCCCTGTAAACTTGTGAAAAAGATGTCTTCAGAAACCCTTGGCGGCCGAGCAAAGCTTTAGGCTGGTAAAGGTCAATTTATAGGCATGCATATATTCACATCTCTGCCTTTTGCAGAGCTGAAGCACTGCAGAGGGTTTTGTGTGTAGCACCCCAGGCATAAGTTTAAAATAATTCTGGTTTTCTTGAGGTGCTTTTAAACACTATTAAAGCTAAGACATTGATATATCATTGTAAAATAGAGATTTTTTTAGATTGTAAGACTGAATATTCTTTAATTTAGTCTTTTTGCTGCAAATATACTGGAACTTTTCTATATAAGAATAACTGAGGATTTAATACTGTGCTCATAAGCTATAATGTTAAAGCTGATTTCTGCCTTGGCTTTTGATATAAAAGGATGAGTGTCATAGCTTAACTCTATTCAGCATAATTTGTATTTACAGTCTTTTTCTTTTTAAGAGATGTGCTCCTGCATCAATTCGCCTTATGGACAATGAACAATTTCAGTTTGGTAAGTTCACAAATACCCTATCCCAAATTGAGTGTTTCATGGTGTCGTTGTAAGTATAATATCTTAGTTTTGATGTCCAAGTCTGTATTCTATTTGGAGTTCAATCTCTGCCACTTACATAGAGTTCCTGTTTCTAAACATAATAGAGATGGAAAATTTATACTTTGTCTTTTTGCTGTCGGACTGCTTCAAAAAGTTGTCAGTTGGACAATAAGTCCTTCCTTTGGGGGGGTGGGACGGGACCTGCCGCTGCACGCACCCTAGGAGGCACAGAGGGGCATGTGTTCCCAGATCTGCACGGGGACCAAATATCCTTAAAATCTGGTATGCTACACAGAGTGTAGAATCCAATTAGTGGACTGAATTTGGGACCATTTGTGAGCTATGTGTTCCCAAGAGAGAGATCCCCAGCCCTTCCCTTTTTCAGATTTGATAGTCTTCTAATTCCGTGCCAAAAGATTGATAAATTAAGGTGTGGACCCTGATACGAGAGCTTGGACTGCAAATGATCTTGGTGTTTACCCTGGTTTGTACATGGCACATCCTCCCCCTTTTGGGAAAGCAATATCAAACACAGTATTCAACATAGCTACTGCCTTTTACCTCCACAAGTATGTATAAATTTAACATTTATGGTTGGCAGGGACCATGCTCCTCTGGGTGTGTCTCAGTCCTTCTCCTGGATCTCCATTTGAGTCAGAAGCTGGGTGATTGAGCCACCCTCAGTGCCCTCCCTTATTGGGAGCCTTGGCATTATGGGGGATTGAACCCTTTCCCTCACCCTGTGCATACTTTGGTATCTGGAGAGGTTTTGTCACATCAGTGGAGCTTGGTCCCTCTCTTTCCCAATACGAGTTGAGAACTCAGACCCTGAATTAAACTGAATTTAAAGCCCTGAAACATTAGGATTGGAGGTGGGGAGAGGGCATGGGGGGTGAGGGAGAAGACAGCCTGAATGTAGATGGACTAAGGACATGCTGGGAGGACAAGCCAAAACAGATATGTGAGAAAAATCGTCCCTGTCGCAGAGCACTTAGGTGCCCTGCGCCTGAGAACGGGGACGGCTCAAGAGAGGTCCCTAGCGGTGAGAAGGGGGAGGCGCAGCTGCCAGTCACCAGGGCAGTACAGGTGCTGGCTGCTGGGGCAACCGGCGAAACCCCCTGACAGGAAGGAGCAGGGCTTAGCCCTTCTTAAACCCAGGCAGGAGGCTAGGGTGGCAGTTCCTCCTCTGGCAGCCAAGGAGTGAGGAGCTCAACCAGTGTGGAGAGAAGGCCAAGGTTTGGCTGCATGAGTATCTGTAGGTTGCTGCCATGAGCTGGAGTATTTTGCCTGGTAGGGATTCTGACCGGACGGTTTTAGCTTTGTTATAGCCCAGGGGCTTTGTCTCTTGAGTTTACTGTTTAACCGGAGGGCCAGGCGAGGCTATTAGGGGTTGGAGGAGGCCTCGTAGGGACTCCCCAGTAGCGTGGGGGTTCCTGGCACCGGAGAAGGTACAGTGTTTTGCGGGGTACATTGGCTTAGCCCTGAGAGAGCGAGAGAGGGGGCGAGGAGCCCCGAGAGTGCAGAGGGGCAGCGAGGGGCCCCGAGAGCAAAAGGAGGGCTGAGACATAACAGGGCCAGAGTCAGATTACACCAGCACCATCTGCAAGGCTTGGGCTGCGGTATAGGGGAGGAAAAGGAGCCGCAGATAGGGCCCCGTGTCATCGGGACGCATATAAATTGGCGGCCCCCGGCTAATGACAGCAATCTATTAATTAAATAAGATCAAGGCGTGGCAGGCGAGTAAGCAGGTGGTTGGCCCATTACAGGACAGCGGAGCCATACCCGGAGAGGCTCCAATAGTGGCACTCCTGTCATAGTCCCATACAACACACCCCCAGAATATAATATACACTTCATTTTTTCTTCATTTGGGCTTTCAAAAAAAACCCCAATCTTTCCTTGTAGCAAGTAACCTGAGTAGCAGCAGCTTAAGGACCCAAGCCCACTCATTGTTTTTCTCCCTTTCAATCACTGCAGATCTCACTTTGTTTCACCTGCAAAGTGGCAGATTCCATCCTTGCTGTATTTCTCACCCATAATGCACATTCCAATTTCAAAGAGCTGGTTTTTATGAAAACAGTACATGTATGTGAGGAATTTATGGTATTTTGAGGGAGTGCATGTTCTAATGCATCATACAGCTTAAGGTGTGTGACCAAAAAAGATGTACAGCAATATTAAGCTGATAACTGTATAATGTACAGCAGTAATAAGAATATAGATATATAGATCTAGATCAGAGGTGGGCAATTATTTTGGGCAGAGGGCCACTTACTGAGTTTCAGCAAGCCATTGAGGGCTGCATGACAGAAAATTTTCTAAATTTTTAGGGGCCCCGCGGGCCGGATAGAATGGCCCGGTGGGCCACATCTGGCCCCCCAGCCACATTTTGCCCACCCCTGATCTAGATAGTGCTCTTTACTGTCTAGATAGACCTAAACAGTAAGTTTTTTCTTTTCTTTTCATACCTTTCTTTTAACTAATGTAGTGGAATGCAGGAGTGTTACCTGAAGGTGGTGGTAGTAGGCCAGAAAGTTAAAGAAGGGAAGTGGCCTGTTTTCTCATATGCTTCAGTGCCATAGCCACTGAATGATCAAGCTGTCCATATTTTTGGGATCTGCATTGTTTGACTTCTGTTGCCCCATTTAATGTCATGCACCGATCACTTCAATGCATGACTTGGTTTCCATTCTACTATGACAAAATGGGGAGCACAGGGGATGAGCATGTGACAAATCTCATTGAGCATGTCCAGATGTGCAGGTAGGTGTGGCTTGTAGCACCACAAACCTCTTTGTGGCACCACAAACCTCATACATTGCACTGAGTTAAAATGTGTGTGATGGTGTGTATTTGCAGCACAGGGGCAAAATGTGCTACTGGGATTTCCTGGTAAAAAAAAAAAAAAAAAAAAAAAACTACTCCGGAAAAGAAACCGGCTTGCACCGAGACAAATGCAGAGACAAGGGAGCATCTAGTTCAGGGCTTCCTGCTGCATGCTGCAGAGCCCCTGCACTGAGGCACACTGCTTGCTCCCCTGTCTCAAGGCATGCTGCATCCCATCCAGCCACTCCAAGCCTGTGCGCCTCAGTTCGGGAGCTTTGTCACTGGGGTGCAGCCTGCCTCAGTTCAGGGGATCTGTAGCGCACAGAGATTGGGGAACGCCCTGGCTGGCTGGAATGCAATGTGCTTCAGCCAGCACATCCTTCCCCCCCACCGAGCACCTGGAGCTTGGTTGGGAGCTAGGAGGAGCCTGGCACTAGGGCTGCATGAAGCTTCAGCAGCCAATCCGATTCGGAGGAGATTCAGCCTGATCTTGGTGGTCAAATCTTCAAATCAAATCAGGAGACCCATTAAAAGTTCTGAATCAGATCAGAAGCATCTGAATCAATTTGGAGAGAATTGGCACTGATTCAGAAATTCAGCCATGGACTAAAAAGGCAGCAGTCCTCAAGGACCCTGGACACAGCTGCCTCCAGCTAGTATGTCTGTTGTGGGTGGAGTGGGGAGGGAAGGGGTGTGGGGTGAGGCAGATCAGCACTCCCACAGCAAGGGAGGGATTGTGGCTGGGGCTGGGACAAGCTGCCCCGCCGGAATGGGAGGTGTGGGACCCAGGGAGGGGGGGCTCCCGCCACTGCATGCCACTGGTCCAGGAGGGCATAGGAGTGAGCATGTGTTCCTGGATCTGTGCAGGGCAGGCTGGGCCAGGCTGCGCTCCGGGGGGCTAGCTCTAGCCTCCCACCTCCAAGCTGTGTTCCGCAGGGTGGGTGAAGCCAGGGTTGGGCTCTGGGCAGCTAGCTCCAGCTGCTGCCTGGAACACAGCCCTGGCTCTGCCCAGCCTGCAGAGTGCAGCGGAGTGGGGGCTATGGGAGGGCTGCAGACACCCTAAAATTCCCCATAGCCCCTGCCACTGGCCCCTCCCCAATCTGGGTGCAAGCGCCTGCCGTCATGCCTTGCCACTACTTGTCCAGTCAGGTGCAGTGGGGTGAACCTGCGGCTTGTCCGGGAGGCACAGGGAGGCTGGAGCAGCTTCCACCGCTGCACACTGCTTGTCCAAGTGCACAGCATCATCCCATGCCTCCCCACCCCAGCTGGGTGAACGGCAGGAGGGCATAGCCCTCGCTCCCAGTGCTGCTGCACCTGCATCCCACACCCACCCATCCAGAGCGCAGCCTGGCCAGATTGAGGGGCACATGCCCACTCCCATGCCCTCCTGGACTGCAGTGCATGACGGCGTGCAGTGTTAGGAGCCCCCCTCCCCAAGTCCCATGCCCATCTATCGCCGAATCTCTGAGTCGGCGCCAAGTTTTCAGATCCAAATTGGCAAAATTGAATCGGGACAGCAATTTGCATCACTGACTTGAATCACTGTCCCTCCCAATTGAATTGAATACTTGCTGTTTTGCACAGGCCTACTGGCCCATGCATGGATGTGCACTGCAGCACAAATTTGTGCCGCTACTATTTGTGTTGCTGTAAGTGCACGCCCCTGCTCCTCTGGATGTGGATGTTGTGTTCTTTACCTCTACATAGCCACATCAGAGTCTTAACCGCAAAATAGGCTGTTAAATATAACTACATATTTAGGAAACTGGAGAAATTCAATGACCAACCTCCTAAACACAGTTAAGGTTCTCTCTCTGGTGTTTTGATACTTTGGAAGGGCAAAGTTCAGTAAAACTCATTTCTGAAAACCAAACTGCATGCAGCCATGCAACCTGATCTCTACAGTCTTGTGTGCTGTCCCTGTTATGTGCACATAACCCGTTCTGCTTTTGAATTGTTCTTAACAGGAGCTGCCTACACCTACCTTGCAGCCAAACAGTCTGCTAAATTAGGCATGTCCAACTGTGCAACAGCAGTGAAAGTCTCTTGGCTTCTGCTCCTTTCTTTGGCTTCTGCTGCCTGCCCCTACCCCAGAAATGCTGTACTGAGTCAGACAAATGGCCTATCCAGCC